AAGGGGGGTTTCTGAGAAAAAAATGTCAGGGGGACACCGCATTCTTCACTCCACTGTTTTGTTTTCCGCCATTTTCCCGTCACCTTAAAACATCGACGGCCTTAACGACAGCTTTCAAGGGCTCTCGCCTAGGGGAAGAGGTAGGCTGAAGGAAAACACTTCCCTCAAATCCTCCAGTCACAAGCAGCGGCTGAAGAGAAAACTGTCCGCCCAAGGGGGAGAGAAAGCGTAGGATTAGATGCCACTTCCATTGTTCCTTTCGCCTTTACACCGCACGCTGGGTCTGAGCCTCTCCTCCCTCCACACAACCGACGCTAAGCGTAGGGCACCCAAGTCCCTCCACTTTCTCCTCAGGAGTCTCCTTACCTGCAGCCGCCGCCGCCTCTGCCAGTTGGACTCAGACCGCGCTCGAGATTTCTGCGGGGGGGAGGGGTGGGAAGGGGGCGGCAGCTGAGGATCCGTAAGGTCCTCACATTCGGTTTCCGAGGTTCCGCAGACCGAACCAATCACAAGCTACTCTGCGTCTGGGAGGCGCGCCGCCTCGTCCTCCTTTATATAGCTGCTGACATGCTGAGATTGCATTACGTCACACTACCCTTGCTGCAGGGTAGGGGGCCGAAGAGGGACGCGCGTCTGTGTCTGTGTGTGTGCGCGCGTGCGCGCGCGCGCTCGGGAAATCTGGACGCTCTGGTAGGATCGTGCTTGGAGACCCCGCCGACTTGCGGTGGCGGCTGCAACGCCGGAGAGTCCAAGTGCGCAAGTCTAGATTTAGGCGCGTCCCTTAGGAGTTTCCATGGGAAGATTGTGTTTTCCAGGTTTCCCAAGGGAGAGGAAGCAGGGGATAGGGTGGGTGGGAATCAATGACCGAGTGGCTACTGGTTAAATCGCTAATTGATGTTGGACTACGTTACAAAACAGGCAGACCAGAATGATAAAGAGGTATGACTCCCGGCATTTAAAATCTATATCTTACAGTTTCCTTTCCTTCATTCCTTTCATTGTTTCTTAGTGATGGACAATATATGAAGAAAGTAGAGTGAAGACAGGCATGGGATGGGAAGGTGGGCAAGAGACCTAAAAAAAGTGAACACTGAAGGTTTCTTGAATGTGTCGCTCTCAGCTTGTGTCTGCATAAGACTGGAGAACAGTGAGAAATTAAGTAGTGACGGATGGGAAAACAAACATGATAATGTGATTAAAAGATTGCATTTGAAAAGACCCTTATTGAGCATTTAGCTTTGGAACCAATAGAGTTTAAGCAGGGAAAGGATGGGACCCTTTAAAAACACCTCGTTCCCTGTGCTAAATAATTTGAGTATTTTACAAAGAGAACATGTTATTGTTCTTGATTAACTTGATAATTTCTGTAACCTAGTATACCAACTATAGGTTTTGAGAAAGGAGATAGGGTATGAAATCCCTAGCATTATACCAAACTTTCTCTGTACAGATAACAAATATTCTAGAGTTTGAGGGCTGTAGGTCTCTGTCACAACTATTCAGTTATACAGTTGTAGCTCAAAATTCAGCCATAGTCAGTATGTACGTAAATGAACATGGATGTTCCAGTAGAACTTATGGAAACTGACATTTGAATATTATGTAATTTTAACATGTTGTGAAAAATTATTGTTCCTTGATTTTTTTCAACTATTTGAAAACGTAAAAACCATTCTTAGACACAGACAATTAAATTAATAGGCAGGCATACAATTTTGGCCTATAGGCTGTAATAGATGTTATTTATTTACACTTATTTTGCCTCCTAGTTGACTTGATTTCTATACATGATGTGATTTTCTACTTTGAATCCTCTAGCAAAGACTTTAATAAATACTTGAAAAAAATCTCAGTGGCAATTGCAGTAGTACACTTCCGATGAAAGAAAGCTGACGAAAGATGTGACCTTTTTACATAAATCACCATTGTGAAGGGTACATTGTGGTACACAATTTGTGAAATCTGAAGGTCATCCTCTTCTCCAGTTTATAAATTAAAATATCCTGAGAATTCCACTTCCTTAATTTCTGTGGAATTCATCCTCTCCTCCCCATTCCTTGTTAGGGTCACATCCATTTTTCCCTGGATTATTATTACTGCCACACCTTTCTAACAAGTTCCTCTGTATACGTTTGCTCATCAAGTCCTGAAATCAGAAATCACCTAATCAGAAAAATATCCCAAGTCTCCCCACTGCATTCTTACTGTCCTTACTGAACAAATGGAGTGTGCAATAACCTCTTGACTCATTTTTCTACTACGTGTCTTTCTCCACTCCGCCAGTTATCTTTTGCAATGCAGATTCTACACCACCACCAGGACAGATATCACTTGCACACCCCTGCTTAAACATGGTTGTCAATTGCCACGATGGTCATGGTTGAAATTAGGGCAAGGGCAGAAGAGACTTGTGGGAATAGTTTCTTCATCTCTGCCCCGGTATTTTTACCATTATCACTTTTTATTTAACTTCAACTGGTCTAATAGTTATGTAGTGATCGCTCATTGGCGGTCTTAATTGCATTCGACTGATATCTAATGATATTAAACATCTTTCATGTGCTTATTTGATGTAATCTCCTTGTTGAAGTGTTGTTCAAGTTTTATGCCTGTCTTCTAATATGGAGTTTCAGAGTTTATATATATATATATATATACATATGCGCGCGTGTGCGCGCGCGCGCACACACACGTTAGATATAAGGCCTATAAGGCCTTTATTAGATATGTTTTGCACATATGGTCACGTCGCCTGGTCTTTTCTTCTATATTATATTATCTTCGGCAAAGCAAAATATTCAATTTTGATGAAGTCCAAATTTACCAAGTTTTTCTTCTATAGATTGTCCTTTGGTAGGGATTCTTAGAATTCTTTCCCTAGTTTCCTCTTAAATTTTTAATAAAAGTTTGATTGTTTTAGGCTTTATATTTATATCTGTGATCTATTTTGAGTTAGTCTTTTTATAAAGTGAGTTCATTTTTATGCATATGGAGTACCAGAGGTTTTGACTTTTTAAACTTTTAAAAAGACAATCCTTTTTCCAATGAGATTCCACACCTTTGTAAAAATATCACATGGCCATATTTATGTAGGTCTTTATCTGTCTTATTTATTAGGCTCCACAGATCTATATATTATATATAACCTCAATACTAGCTTGATTACCTTTTCAATAAATTCTAAAATTGGATAGTGTAGTATTTCTAACTTTTTTTTCAAAATGGTATTTGCTATGCTAGTTCTCTTGTTTCTCCACATAAATTTTAGTTTCATCTTATCTATAGCTACAAGTGCTGTAGGGATTATTATTAATATTGTGTGCATCTATAGATTTATTTGAGAAAATTGACATTTTTTTTTAAAAGATTTATTTATCTGTGCATACAGAACTGGGGTACAGGCCAGAGGCTCAGGTG